GGCAGTGAGTTTGGTTGAGTTTTGGACTCAACTCCACTTTCTTTTCCTTTAGACCCTTCTCTCTCACAGCCTGAATAAAGTCATCCCTGTAAAGATCCACTGCGTCTTCCTGATTCTATCCACTAGCTCAAGTAACTTCACTGCTCCCGCCAGTTCAGCTGCCTTTCCACTGGATTATTGCAGTGATCTAAAATTGTCTTCATCTGTCTTTACTCCTCTCTTTCTATGACTGCTAGAATAATCTTTCTAAAAAGCAAAGCATGTTCTAGCCTCTCTCTGTGTCCCCAGTCTAATTCCCACGCCAGGTATACATGCACACACAGACACCCACATGCCATCCATGACCAGACTGAATCACTTGAGTAAGACGGCCTGCTTTTGCCCAACTCTGTACCTACACGTGTAGCTCACGGTGCTGAAACTTGCTTTCCCTTCCTTTTTCTGGCTGCCCCTCCTCCAGCTCAGAGATCAACCCAGAGAAGCTTCCCTTGCCACTGTGTCTCCATCCCGGCCTGGGACGAGGGTGCTCCCAGTCAGTTGTCATCTAGATGGCTGACGCATGGTGACCCCATGTGTGTCACAGTGGAAGTGCTCCACAGGGCTCTCAGTGACTGCTTACTCCGTAGATTGCCAGGTCTTTCTTCCCAAGCATGTTGGATCTCCAACTTCTCAGTTCTTAGTCGAGCATATCACCCAGGATCCCCTCAGCTTCTTGGTCAAGTTTTGTTGTGATTTTTTGGGTTTTTGCCCCACAGCAGTGCAACTGTTAATTTGTCTATTCCCTACCTCCATCAGGCTGGGAGCTGCTTGAGGACAGAAATCACATTTTATTTATATTTATAACCCCATAATGAACACAGTACCTAATACATAACAGGTGTTATGTTTGGAGTAAAAAAAAACAACAAAAATAACCCAGAATAAAGCTCAGTGAGCATTGAGCAACTCACTCTGAGTTAGTGCACCCAGTGGCATCACCTGGGAAGGTTCTCTCTGGTCATAGATTTTTTTATAAAAGCAGTTTTGCTAGAACTTTGTGTGTATGTGTGTGTG